TCTCACCTCCAAAAAGTATTTTAACGTGGCCTCAGCCACCCTCAATTACCATTGCTTCTACCACGCCGCACTCCTCTTCTCTTCCTTCTTCAAGTGCTCCTCCTTTTATTTCTATCTTTTCCACGCAAGATGAAATTAATGATCTTAAGAATAGTAGAGTTGTTATTGAAAGTAAATTGAACCAGCTTACTGGTCACATTAAACAATTCATTAGCTCCATTGGTGGCGCTTCCTTGGAACAAGCTGATTCAGCTTCTTCCATTTATTTCTCTTTTTTTCATCTTATTTACCCGATTATTTTTATCATTGTGTTTTATTGTCAGACAATAATTTTGATTATGATACCTTTGTACGAAATCCTTCCAACCCTGATAATGTTACTGACTTTTTTTTACATGAATCTTTTTTTTTTTTCCCAGTAACACTTCTCCTATTCCCAATTTATTTAATATTTCCTCTTTTAATGTTAATGGCCTTAGAATGCATGGTCAAACTAAAATAAATTTCTTCTTTTTTTTCCCTTAAACATATTTCTTTTGGTGGTATCGTTGATACCCATCTTCACTTTAAACAAATGATGTTTTTATCCAAACGCATTACCAACTATACTATTTTTTCCTCAAACTTGGATACTTCTAAACAGGTTCTTTCTTCTGGTGGAGTTTCTCTTTTCATTGATAATTCCCTTGCTTGTCATATACAAGATTTTAAATTTCATTCTTCATGATTACTTTCTGTTGACTTATATTTCAAAGGCAATGTGAAATTACGCATATTTGTTATTTATATTCCCCCTCCTGCTGATGGTGCTTTGCGCTCTGACATTATTAATTTGCTTATTCAACAACTTGTTATTACTAAACAAGCTGGTTTTTACCATGCTGTTTATGGTGATTTCAATATGCATTTAGATAAATATTATCCTATTTATTTTAATCAACCTCAAGTTGCTTCTAAACATATTCACTGATTATTTTATCATCTCCTCTCTCATGGATATGAAGATTATACTCCTATTAATCTTTCCAGCTCCTTAGGTACCTTTCATCATAATGACCAAATTACTCATGTTGATTATGTATGGTCTTGCCCTCTCCTCAAAGGATCAGCTCTTACTGCTTACATCTTTGATGCTCATGACATTTGCATATCTGATCATAACCCTGTTATCACATATTATGATATGTCTTTATTATTCGCTTCTACCAAATTGGCTCATGCTCGAAATTTAAGTGTCAAACCCGCCGTATCTTCAAATTTGACTCTGTTACCGATTCCCAATGGACAGAATTCGCCGACAAAGCTGATGCTTTATGCACCGTCTCACCTCAACCTTTTCTTCCTGGCATATCAATCAAATGTGCGAACATCTTCAATCACGCATCCTTAAAGCTGCCAACGCCATTTTACCTTCTGCTACAGTTGGCAACAATTATACTCCTAAAGTCCCTAAGAAACTGGAAATCTTAACTCAACACTATTGGTTTTTAAATTGCCTATTGCACTCGATATGTCTATTGTGCAAATATCCTTTAACCTATTCTGCTGCTCATGAACATAAGTGGTCTACCCATTTGATTAGACTTCAAAACATTCTTCATCTATATAAGAAAGTGTTTACTTTCATTCCCACTTTACCCTTATCTCTTTCATCATGTCGACAAGATGATTTCAAATCACTTTTTGATTCTTTATCCAACATTTCAAAATCTTTACGGGGATTTCACCTACTTCAAGAAAAAGAATTTCAAGACTCTTCCATCCGTGCCCGTCTGGATGATAGAAATAATAATTTTGAAACTGACCTTTCTTCTTTTATCAAATCAGTGCTTTCTCGCTCTCATTATCACATTACTTTGGACCGTGTCTTCCTTGGCTTACCGATCTGAAGGATATTGATGATGCTGTCATTAACCATTTCCAAAACTTTGTGCCAATTAAATCCACCCCTCAAATAGATGGTCTTCTGCCTATCAACCCATGGATGATGTGTCCTCCTCCATTTATGATTCTTTAATAAATCCCCCTACTCTTGATGAATGGTTATCTACAGTATCTTCCACTCCTAATGATAAAGCTCCTGGTCCTTCCATGATTACTTATGAAATGCTCAAACATCTTGGATCTCGTACCTTGGCTCTACTTCTCATTTTGATCTGATCCTGCCTCTCCAAAGCTGATATTCCTGACTTATGGTGACAAGCAATGGTCTTTCCCATCCCCAAACCTCATGAATGGAAGTGTCAATTAAAAAACACTCATCCTATCACCTTACTTGAAGTGATTAGAAAATCTTTTGTCAAATTTTTCTATAATCACCTTTCCACTATCTTGGCGTCACATGATGTTTTAAAAGGTGGTAACTTCGCTGGTCTACCTGGTGGTTCTTGCCACGACCCAAACTCTTTCCCGAATACATTTTTTACGAAAATTTTTGCGTAATAATTTTTTTTAAAAAATAATCCCCTTTATTAAATTTTATTACATAAATTTAAAAATGTCTATGGATAAGAGCCGAACAACAACCGAAGAAGCTTTAGACTTCGTTTCCAAGTTTAACGAAATTTATTTCCAAACTGTTACATACCACTTAAGTTCTTTTATACAGGACGGTTTCCTCAAGGACTTATTTGAAAAAAACCCCTCAGTACCTAAGGATAAAGCCAAGATACTGATAGAAAGGTTTGGCGAGTCAGCCAACCCCGCGAACTTCACTTTACAAGCTCAAGCTATGAATATACAACCCACCACCCTTTCGCTAATATTTTCTATAGCGTTATATTTTGCGTCCAGGTCTTGGGATAATTTTTCTACCCAATTCTATTACAAATTTGGCGATACAGGTGATGATGATGATGACGATGACGATAAATCTCAGGATACTGATGATTATCTAATGGATGCGTCACCGTTCTTTGAGCAAGATGTAGATGATCTTATACGCCAAGGATTCCAAAAACCACCAAGTCCAGTACCTATCAAGCTTCCATCAATGCCTGATATAGTAATGCCCACTGTTGATCAAACTGTAATACCTGAAAACTCCCAGAAGAAAGATAAACAAAAGGCGCGTGTTACAGATGATAAACAAAGCACGAACCAATCAACGAAGGCAAAACCTGATGTGAAAACATCAGCCAAAAATTCCCAAAAGGGAAAGAAATCATCCAAACTGGAAGCTACACAGATACTGACAGGATACGAAGCTGTTGGAGAGGAGCAAGAGCGAATCTGAGACATTATAGTTTACGATATCCCGTATACCTGGGACCTGCAGAAGATTATAGCAGAGTTAAAACTTTGGGGGAATACTATCAAGTGTTCTGTCAAGCGACAGTACAAGTATCAGACTCTTAGAGTCAAGATAGCATTATCCTCCTTTTCCCTTTCCCAGTTTAATAAATATTGGACGACAGACCTGGGAGGTATACCCGTTAGATGGTTCCCTGCAAGTTGGACTTTACGAGAAAGAAAACAACGTGAAAAATTCCAAGCCGTCATTCATGACATTCTGGAGGATATGACAATGGCTACCTTGTGGATGGACCGTAAACCATGTGAATTTTTAATGAAGTGCGGTGCTAGCTCATTTAAAATAATTCAAACAAGTAAAGGAAGGAGGAAACTTGTGGCCTATTTCGAGAATTGGGAGACCACACTAAGGGCCTTAGATACGCCACAGTTTTTCGTACCTGATGGTAAGGAGTTGAAATGGTGTCGACACTCCATTCCTACCTTGAAGAAAGCACAAAACAAACCGAAGGCTAAAAATACACCGAATCTGAAAAAATCAGGTAAGTCTGATAAGAATTTGGAAAGTAATCAGCCTAAGAAGAAGGATAAATCTACATCCTCGAAGAAAGTCCCAAAAAATAATAATCAGGAGGAGAAGCACCCAAAAACTCAGAAGAAGGCAAAGAATTCCTTGAAGAAAAAGGGTGGTAATAAAGATAACAAGGCGGTTTTAGCAGAGATTTTAACTTTATTACAGAAACTAGTTTAGCCTACGCTTTAATTAGCGGTTTTACAAATTTCAGAATTATATTATTTTTTAGGATAGAATAGGTTTATGTGTATGCACCACAATTTCTTGGAAAGGGGACTTGTCCTCTCCACTTTTTTTTTCCCCCCTATTTTTTACCCAGTGTGTCCGCCTGGATTATTATCGGTAGTGGTAGTAGTGCAGGTCTTTTATTTTCAAGAAGTTCAGGTTGGGCTCCAGCTCCTCTGGAATTTGATGGTAGGATTTAGTTGGGTTGTATTACTTCGGAATCATGCTCAGTTTTGTATCCCCTGCCGGCTTCACATAAAATAAATAAATAAATAAATAAATTCTTGCCACGACCCTATCATTACCTTAGAATCAATTATCCATGATGCCGATGTCAACAAGAATCCGCTTTGGATTCTTTCACAAGATATTTCCAAAGCATTCGATTCAGTCAATCTTACAATGTTACTTTTTGCTCTCAAACGTATACGCCTCCTGCTTCTGCAGTTAAATTTCTCCTTTCACTTTTTACGAAACACACTAACCGCTCATAGATCTACTCCTGCTTATAGGGTTCACATTGGTATTGACCAAGGTGAAGTTATCTCTCTCCTTCTATGGGTCATTTATATTGATCCATTACTTACTGTTTTGAAGAATGAAATGATTGATCCTTATGTTCTTTCTGCACCATCCTTAATTGCATCTCAAGATTTCTCCCTTGATTTGCGAATTAACAATTTAGTATTTATGGATGACTCTACTCTTATTTCCTTGTCAAAAGCTGACATGGAATTTATGTTATCCATTACTGAAGAATTTCATATGTGCAGATATTAACCCTAACCCCAATTTTTAGGATGTAACCCCAAATGACTATCATTAAATTGACATATGATGATTGATGACACTGATTACGATCATTTTAATTGGTACAAAAATTATGTTTCACAATAGTTTTTTTAAAAAATAGTTTTACGCGTTGTATTAATTTTTACAAATCGCAAAAATGGAAGAAATTCATAATTATCCTTTTGATCCAGTTATTAAGTTTAAGCAGCAAGGACGTAGTTTTTCATATAAAATTATAAAAGAAGGTACATATCCTAATAAAGAATCATTAGTTTATACTCTTCCTCCGAATAAGTATCGTATTCCTAATAACTATATAGTAGAAACAACCTGGGGTAGAAGTACAAATCAGTGTACTGTTCAATGTCATATTAATTATAATGATGGTAAGCCAATCTTTCAAGTCTGGTTTGGAAAATGCTTTGAATATAGAGTTTCTTCAGTAAAAACAGCTACAGATGCTTCAAATTTATTTCATAAGGTATGTATAATGAAATATTTTGTTGGATTATTTACTTTTTATATAAACTAACTAAAATTTATTTTTTTTATAGCATTATACTTCGCAAAAGGGAACTAAAACGTCAGGTATTTATTTATTTGGTCTTCAACTTAAAATATTAGATAAAACAAGAGATAGGAAACGATGTGCACATGTGTTAAAGCAAGTTAATCAATGTAGCAATACTACTCTTACAAGATGTGCTACATCTATTGGAAAACAATTGTTAACCGAATTTAATGAGAAAGTACCAAAATTTTATAATGTGGAAGAAATTCCAGTATTGGAAAATATACGTTACTCTGTTAAAAATCGTATCTTTGATATCCATTATGGGGATGAAGACAAGATTAAAAAAAAACAGAAATTGAATCAGTGGTTAGAGCATTAGACGAAGGAAACATTTCAAGGAATCCTTATCGACGTTTGTGTGCTATAGAATCTCACCTACCTCGCGAAGGAGTTGTATCTAAAGAACGTCAAAGAATAAATAAAGAAATGGCTCAGCTTATACCAATATCAATAGTAGATATAAATGCTCAAGTAGATCTATCTGAAGATGAAGATATAGAGGATGAAAATATAGCACAAGAAATAATTGATGCAGTTGGTAAAGGTGGTCACAGAAATATTAAAGATATTTTGCGATATTTAGTTCCTGATCTTATTCAGAAAAGAATTTTGAATCCGCATCACCCAGTAATTAATCTTCGGATTTCTGGAGATGGACACAATGTTGGCAGAAAAATCAAACATGTAATGATTACAATGGCAATTTTGGATGATAAAGATACCTTACATAAACCAAATAGTTATCATACGATCATACTTTACCCAGGATGCGAGAATTATGATTCTTTATCAAATATAATGGTGCCATTTTGTCATGATTTAAGAAATCTAAAAGAACAAGGATTAATTATTAATAATATTAGATGGAATTTTCAATTTTGCTTTTCGTCAGATTGGAAGTTTTTGGCAACTTGCTTAGGTTTTAATGGTGCTCATAGTAAGAACTTTTGTCCTTGGTGTACAATTAGCAAATCACAGCAGGGAGACCTATCAAAAGAATGGTCAATTAGTAAGAATATAAATAAACTAGTTGAGAAAAATAATTATTATGAAGGACATACCAGAAAACCTCTTTTTGATATGATACCTCTTGATCACTGGATTCCTGATGAGTTGCATATAATGTTACGAATTACTGATCGATTGTGGAGTCTTTTGATAGCAGAATTAATGGAACAAAATTTATTTAATGATACTGCACGAAAAATTATTATAGATGAAATGAAAAGAATTAAAATTAATTTTCAATTTTGGCAAGATCATGGATCCAAGACATGGAATTATACTTCTCTGATGGGGAATGATAAAGTTAAGGTATTGCAATTTTTTGATTTAACAAAAATTCTTTCAATGAGACGTGCTACTATAGTACGAGATTTATGGAACAAATTTTATGAGCTTTATATAAAAATGAAAGATCCAACAGTGAAAGCTGAAGATTTTAAAAATGATGCAATAAATTGGTTAACTTTATTCTTGACACCATCTGAAGGTATTCCAAATACTCAGGGATTTAAAAAAGGCTTATATCAACCAGATAATATAACTCCATATATTCATGTGTTGGTTTTTCATATTTCCGAATTTATGGCAATTCACCAGAAATGGGGATTGAAGGCTTTTTCATGTAGTGGTGTTGAAAAAAAAAATCATGAACAAGTTTCCTATTTTTTTTGTAAGACAATGAAAGATGGTGGTGGTAAAAAAAATTCTCAATCCTCAGCAATTGTTGAAATTTTACAAAATGAAAATAGAACTCTCTTCTATAATCACAATAATATTCCTTTAAATTACCAAAATCCTAAAACAATTCATATCAAAACCCAAAATATTTAGTATCTTTTATGTATATTGAATATATTGAAATAAGATTGTTATAATAAAGAAAATAAAAAATTAAAGGTTATAACGAAGTTTTCCTTGAGCTATTAATGGTGCTTTATTAGTAAATTGATGTTCAATCACACACGTACAAATAGAATATTCGCGAAAATGTATCATGTCACGCAAAATGATTAAAATTTTTTATTTACATTTGAATTTTTATTCTAGTTTGTAATCACTATCATGTATCGCAATTAATGACTAAAATTAAATCCTTTTAATTTCTAATGTAAGATGTACATATATCGAAATATAATTTTGTCTTCTATATATTACAAAAATTAAAAAAAATCAATATTTTACATAGATATAAATGCTTATTTTATTGAATCATAGCCTGACTATTAAAAAAATGAAAATAAATGTGTCCTGCTTGAGTAAGATTACCGTTGAAATCACTATTTTTTTGTTGTTTCCATTCTACCACAAGTTGCCCACGTTCATATCTTGATTTACACTGTTTGGTAACTTGTAAAATAGGGTTTTCATCATCAGATTTAATATTATTATCATCATAGAGTACAACGTACTAAGTACGTTGACATTGCTCATAAAATTTAACCCCCATTCTTGCATTTCTAAAATATCAGCTAATATCTGATTTGCTGAAACTCCATGAAATATACATTTGTAAATATTTTTCCTAGCCGAATAATAATGTATATGATCCTTAAATACCGCGTAAAATTGACTTTCAGTAGCAGGTATAGAAACCGTTTGTTTGCCTAATTTTTTATATCCACTTGGCAGTTTTTTATGAATATAATGAACTAAAATACCTTTAAACTGTCGTGTTGTATTTTCAGGCAAAATATCAAGATCTGAACGCGAAATATTGTATTTTTTAACAATATTATGATGCCTTGTTAATCCACTTTTACTTTTAAACACTTTTCTGCACACATTACACTCGAATTTTGAATCACAAGTAGCTGTTGGAGTTATTGGAGGCGAAACAATACCGTTAGAGGCTTCAGATTGAATCATACTGCTTGAAATATAAAGTAAATAATGTAAATGAATATAGTTTTGAAAAATATTAAGCTCAGTACACTCTATATAATTTACCTTTGGAGGAGATGGGTTTTCTGGTGGGGAGATGGGTTTGACGTGACAAGTTAGGTGTGATGCATTCAAATAATGGAATGCATCCATCAAGCAATGATAAGTATGAAAGCTTTGAAAGTTGAGTTTGAAGCAAGCGAAAGGGAGTAGAATTCAAGAAAGCAATAGTGCATGTGATATAATCCTTTTTAAAAGAAAAAAGAGAAGACCATATAGACCAGTCCTTAATTAATAAGGGCTGATTTGTCTACCTTTAATTAAAATATTAATTTTATTACATTTTTATTATACAAAATACTATAAATTGGAAATAAGTATTAAAAAATTTTTATTTAATGTTATTATACTATAATTTGGTAAATATTTCTTTTAAATTAATATAATTATTAGCACTTACTATATATGTTAAAAATTTGTATCTCAACTTAAAACGTAAATATCTCCAGATCACTCAATCGGCAAGCTCTTTTTTCGTTCATATAGACCAGATCAAAGGCTTTCCAAAGAGCCTAAATTTATAAAAAATGGATCAGTGGATCTCAAGATATTTGCATTTAAGCATGTTAAAAAGTTCGTACCTCAATCGGCGAGCTCTTTTTTCGCCTATAAAGTCCAGAACAAGGGCTTTCCGACGAGCCTAAAATTATAGAATACGGATCAGTGAATCTTGATATATTTGCGTTTAAAGATGGTAATACAAACTCTGACATAAAATAATTATTTTTATTGTTTGAAAATATATATTATGATACCATCTTTTATATGATATTTTTATTATACTTTTATAAACATTTATAGCTACTAAGGCTATATAAATTTTTATTTTACTTTATATTTTATTAAAATATACTTACTTTTTAATAATATATGTTAAAAATTCCATATATATGAGAAATGGGTTTTTTATTTAGTGAAATGGATTTTTTTACATTTAATAATTTAAGTTTCGCAAATGTAAATTTTTGTTCAACTTATTATTTAGTCAAGTGATCATCAATCAGATGATTTTTTGGTATTACAAAACAATTTTGAATAACAAAAATTGTGAAAATCAATCAATAACTCTTTTTAATGCAGAGTAAACAAATCAGCCCATATGGAAGTAAACGCATTCTAATATAAAAAGAGATTGGATAAAAGAAGAAGAAGAATTAGCCATTAAAAATAAATTAATAATATGACATTGTCATTGATGAGCGAACGAATTAATCAAGCCCAAGGTTTGAGATAAAAATAAAATAGGGTTGGGAAGAAAATGAGAAAAATTAGCTTTATGTTTTACTACAGATCGTATACTTCTTATTATCAGATGACAGTCAGATTCATGTTAGCATAGTTGCTTCTACTTTGGTTGGAATATATCAAGGGGGAAGATCTGGGTAATGCAATTTTTCTTTTAGATTAATTTTTTACTTTATTTTTTCTTAGGAGATTATATAGTTTTGTTTTTAGTTAGTTTATTTTTATATATTTTTCTTTTTATTTTTTCTATAAATTGTAAAGTTTGAATAAATTTAATAAAGATAAAGTCTACTATACCATGTTTGCCTATAGTAAAATATCGCAGAGAAGTTAGTTTTCTAAAATAAGGAGACGGAGTTGTGGTGTATGTTTGGTGTTTTATTACCCAGGTTTTTCTTATTGCACTTTGAGTTTTCCTAAGATTTATGTTTTTATTTTTTGCTTTTTGTTTTTTTTGGTCACTTTTTTCGATGTAACCTTATTTTCTTTGGGGTAGGAGGATACTGGAAAATTTGATCGTCATGGTGGTTTGGTGTTACATTTCAAAATCAATGATCACTCGGGTGATAAGGGGTGACAGGTTGGATACCGCAGTTTTTGTAGTATGCCAATCAAGGTGAAAAATGAATACCAAAACTATTTTAACATATAATAATAAAAATTAAATAAAAAACTTATTTTGATAATATATAATATATATATTTGTACCAAACTACTAATTATACAAAAAGTAAGTCTACCTATGGAGTCAAATAATCACTCGACAGTGCACACGTGGGGTACTACCAGTATGACAAGTGGTTTGTAGTTTAATTATATTAGAGTAGTTATTAGGAAATTTTACTTTGTATATATTTTTTATTTTTTTTACTTTAATAAAACTGCAAATGCGCTGCGGAAAAAAAAAAAAAAAAAAAA